CCCCCCCGGACCCCAGTGACACTTGCGTGACTTCCGACCTAGGGTTCCACCGCCGCTTCAACTCCAGAGCCTCTAGCTCCTTCAAACCCAACGGGACCAAGTTTGCCATTCAGTACGGAACCGGGCATCTGCAGGGCGTCCTGAGTGAGGACAAGCTGACTGTGCGTGACCTGTGGTGCCAGGAGGGCGTGGGCCGCGCGAGAACCCCAAGATCTGGCAGGATCTCTAGGGAAGTGGTTTGAGGAGGGGGTGCTTTCTGGGGAAATGGACGAGGAGGCGGAGCTTCCTGCGGAGGGGCGGGGCTCCCGCTGAGGGCGGGGCCTTGAGGAGGGCGGAGCCAACTCCACAGAGGCATGGCTATGCTGTTGGGGCGGGGCCAAGGGCGGAGCTTCTCAAGGGAGGAGGGGCATATTCCCCTGCAGGGGCCTGGTTTCTGGATGCCGTCACCTGGGGTTCATGGTTTGGGCTGGGAGAGCTCACGGGTAGGGGCTGTCCCCCCAGAAGAAACTTTTGACTGTGTGCTAGCTCGGAGGAGTCCCAGGGGTGTCGGTCACCTTCGGGGAGGCTGTTTGGGAGTCCATGTTGTACACTGCTGCTCTCAGCGATGGGATATTGGGCCTCGGATTCCCCATTCTGGCCGTGGGAGGAGTCCGGCCGCCGCTGGATGTGCTGGTGGACCAGGGGCTGCTGGATAAGCCAGTCTTCTCCTTCTACCTCAACAGGTAACGGGGGCGGGTGTCCTTCCCGTGCCTTTGTCCCAGTCCTGAAGTCTGGGGCTAATTCTGCAACCGGTGGCACCGTAACAGCAGCTCCCGCGAGGAGCAGAAAGCCCTACTCTGCCCTCAGCAAGAAGCCCGGGACTCTCCCCGAGCTTTTACAGCTAGGAACATGGTGTTAGTGTATCCTGCCTTTGCAGCTCTCATCCAATTATATGTAAAATAAACTTTTCAGCATCTTTTATTTTCTCACATTTTAAAAGGACAGGTTTATTAGCAAGAGGAAAGAAGACTTCAACATGTGTATTTTAATGCATGCTGTGTGGAGCTGGGGGATCTTAATACCATCCACACACTTAGCAAGTTTTGGGGGGGAGGAGCAGTGGACTTTGCAGAAGAGAACCCTTAGAGCCAGATGCTGGTTGTCAGGGAGGCATCCGCACTGCACTGAATCGCCTCCTCCCTGAGGAAGGAGGGAGAAACACTGGAGGAGTCCTGTGGACTGAGCTAGCCTGAACGCACACCTCAGCCCTTACCTGCTCCCTGCCTCCACCTCACCAGGGAAAGCGCCCCCATCGCTGTCCAGCTTCTCAATCGCCTCTTCCCAAGTTTATGGGAACACACGCCAGGAAGCCCTCTGCTCTAGCCCCAGCCCAGCCAGAAACGCCACTTCGCTAGGGAGGCCGCTGCACGGCCGGCCTGTCAGCCACCAGGGCCTCCGATGGCTGCTCCCGCCGCCGCCTCTTCGGGCACTCGGCCCCGCTCCGTGCAGAACCGGCACACGCGGGCAGGGACTGCCCGGCCCCAGCAGCTCTACCCTCCGTCCCCACTCCGCCAGCGCTGGGAACCAGAGGCCACAGAGCTTGGGTTCACATTCGAGAAGTTTCAGCAGCCGCCAGGAAGATGTCCATGGCTACACAAAGACTGCCAGAGCCAAAGAACGAATCCCAAGTGTCCACTTCAATTTCTCCAGCCATATCAAAGCCCATCACCATGCCAAGTCTCCAGTACCCTAACCTCCTGCGCTCTAGCAAAAAGCTTGCTTCTGGGCCCCTGATTGCCGCCACCCCACCTTGAGCTCCAGCCCTCCCTCCCCCACGCTGGCAGGAGGCTCTTCCTCAGCCCGGGGCCCCCGGGAGCTGGCCGCTGACAGCACTGTGCCCCGCAGGGACCCCGAAGCGGCCGACGGAGGAGAGCTGGTCCTGGGCGGCTCCGACCCCGCGCACTACATCCCGCCCATGACCTTCGTGCCGGTCACCGTCCCCGCCTACTGGCAGATCCAGATGGAGCGGTGAGGCGCCGCCTGCTGGCCGGGGGCGGGATGGCCCTGGCCCGGCCTGGGAGGGGCTGGGCCCCCAGTCCTGCTGGCGAGGGGCTGGGGGGCAGAAGTGAGAAAAGCTCTGGGGCTGGAACCAGGGTCTGAGGGAGGAGGCCTGGACTCGGGGTGCGGGCTCTGATGGCTGCCGCCTTGCACTGACAGGGTGAAGGTGGGCACAGGACTGACTCTCTGTGCCCGCCGCTGTGCTGCCATCCTGGACACTGGCACTTCCCTCATCACAGGCCCCAAGGAGGAGATCCGGGCCCTGCAGAAGGCCATCGGGGGGTTCCCCTTTCTGGCTGGGCAGGTGAGGACCCCGTGTCTGCTGGCTGTGGGCTGGGAGGCTGATGGGGTGTGATGGGGGACCTGGAGCAGGATGCTGGTGTCAGAGGGGTATCAGGTAGCCCTGGATGGAAGGAGCCAGAAGTGGTGAGTGACAGGCTGTGGGTAGGACACGGGGGTCTGCTGAGTGCTGGTGGGTGGGAGTGAGTGCTGAGGCAGGTTGATCAGGACCGGCTGGGGCTGAGAAGCCTGGGGGCTCCTGGAAGAGGCCCGAGGAAGCTGAGGTCAGCCGCGGAGGAGGGGCCTCCCAGAGATGGCGTCGGGCGGGAGTGCAGGCAGTGGGGCAGCCAGAGGCCTGGGAGGGGCATCGGGCGATGGGGCTGGCGCCTGGCACCTGGCGGGGGACAGGGCCACTGCCCCCAAGCCCTCCTTCCCCTCTTCCAGCCCCAGGAGGCCCTGCAGCTTCTGGGGAGGGGCTGGGTCCTTCCAGGTGAACCTGACCGGCCATCACTGGGCCCTCTGGTGCTGCTGGGAGGGTGA